GGTGGTGGTAAAAGTCGTCGGCCTTGGCCTTGAGCCACACGGCTAAACACGATGATACCAGCATCATCACCCGTGTCCCCAGCTACAACGTACGGTCGGTCTCGCTGATATCTTGGGCGTAATTCGCGTTTAGGCCCTTGTGCGACTTGAGATGCTTGCGGTTCTTGACGAGCCAATCTTCCTCGTCCGCTAAGATCATAGTGCTCTGTATGGCATTGCCTGGTTGTCGAGAGCGGTACCGGCCGTCGACTCGCGGCTCGGCGTTGGAAACACGCGCGGCGTAAAGCTGATGGTGGACTGCAGCGTCTCGCGCGGCGCGGGAACGTACACCACATCGCTCTCGTCGTCCTCGTCGTTGACGTTATTGCTGCTAAAACCATCGTCTTGGACGGGGGGCGGCGGAGTTGTCAAGGGCGCCATGTCGGTCTCGGACTCGGTGTCGCTCCACTCGATCTCGTCGTTGTTGGAAACGTCAAAGGTCCCGTCGGTAGACGCCTCGAGGATCGGCTCCATCGGTGGCTGGACGATCGTTCGCTTGGGCGCTGACGGCGCTTTGAGCTCCTCGAAGGTGCGGTACATGGCGGTCTACAACCATTCCAGTATGAGGGAGCTGGAGGCATCTATCTATCGATACCTCTTCGCGCTGCTTTTCGTCGGCCTTGAGGTCGTCGAGGCGCTGCCGCTCGTGCTCTTCCAGCGCCATCTAATGGATCCCGTGTCAATGAATTGCAAGCACTTGATTGTAAGAGCCGACTTGATCCCGGAGCGTCTTCTTCTCCGTCGCGTACTTGGCGTCCTTTCGCTTCTCGGCCAACTACGGACGCCCTGAGTACACATTACTTACTGCATGGGCACGCGCGTACCTGCTGTTCCATCTCAGTCTTGCGGTCCATGGACGCCTGTCGCCGCGCTAGAATGTCGGCTTTGGAGCCAGAAAAGACAAGCTCCTTCCACATGTCTGGCGTGCTCTGACGCCGAACCATGAGGTCTTGAAATGAACGCGATGCTATCAGTGTACCTTGGCGACGGTCAAGTGAATGACGCCATCGAGGATCTTGACGACCGCGCTCGTCGGCTCAATATGCGCGACAAGGTCCAGAAGCAGTACATACGGCTTAAAGTTGATCTTGACCACCGCGTCCGCGACTAGACACACACATGATGGCTGGCCGATGGGGTCGTCGTACCGTAAAAGTCGACGTCCTTGCGGCTGGCGCCCTTGAGCGGCACGGTCAGCGAGAGGTGCGTCGCGGTCTGGGTCCACTCGTACTGCGGCGTCAATGGCATGCTTGTCGGTCTCGGTCTCGGCGGATCTTGCTGTGGCACAAACCTTCCTTTAAAGATCGCAGCATCGGCGATGCCATTGGCCAAAATCATTGTATTTTCCTCGAATGGCATGCGGTTTAAAAAGCGGTCGCGCTATCTATTGTTAAGAAACCACCCAACGATGGAAGCGACGCTGCGGCGCGCCGTCAACGAGTTCTTCTTCCGAGACACGTGGTCGCCCGCGACGTATGTGACGTTCGCCGTCGTTTTAGTCAGCACGTTCTTCGTCTCGAGCGGCCTCTCGCGGCTCTTGTTTGGCCTTGTCGACGCCAAGCTACAGCGCTACGAAGCCAACCGCGCCGCAATTCACACGGTAATTACGCTTGGAGTTGGTGTTACTTGATGGAAAGGCTTTGAATTGGTAGATACCGGACGCCTCGTCGTCCGAGAGCGACGAGACCTCGGACAGTGGTTCGTCCGACTCGAGCCAAGACGACAGCGAAGACGACGAGGACGACGACGACGAGCCATCGGTGTTTTCGCCCGTCAAGATTGCAGTGCCACCGCTGATTGAGATTGATGCGGCTGTTTTCGACGTGCGGGATGTGGAGCATTTTAAAACGTTGTGAAAAAGAGAGCGCGCATTCTTGCGTTCTCAGTGGTTTGTGCTCATCGGAGATGATGGGTGGCGATGGTAGGTCGACCATCCCAACAGAACTGGACAGCGACGTGCACGCGCATTGAAAAGGCGGCAAGCCAAGCGGTTGGGGCGGACGCTACGGAATCAAACCCCAAGTTCGTTGATCTTGTGGCGGAACAGGGCGATTCTTGCGGCTAGAGCTGGACTATGGCGAAGGGTGGCAGGGCGAGATGGTCGACAATACGTTTACGAACGGCATTAATACGTACGAGGGGATATCGCCCGAGATCTTTAAAATCCGCGACTACTCGACAGCGGCCGATGTCGACTCGATTGGTACACTTGCTAGGGATGGGTTTGAAACTAGGGCTAGGGGTGTTGAGTACTCGGAGAGTACTCGACGCATTAGATCCCGTAAGGCGACTGAATCAACCCGCAACAAGCCGACGAGCCAGAGATGTGTTATGGCCCAAGTTATGGCGGGGGAGCTTACGCCAACGATTGATACAAGAACGACACCGTCGTGTGCGGCGGACCAAGCGCCTCGCGTTGGATCCAAAAACGATGCTGTCGATCTCCACAATGTTTCTTGCGACATTCAAGTCGTCTAGGAAGCTCATACTATGGTTTTGTGTTATGTCTTCTGCACCAACAAACGTCGCGACAGAGATACCTTGGTATCGTGACCACGGGCGCGATACCAAGGTATGGAACCAAGCATCAAAATCTCACTCGGCACCGATCACGAGCGTGTACTTGCTTGTGATCACATGTACTTTGCTTGGCACCGATTGCAAACTCCAGCTAAACGAATAGTTGTACATGGATGCTGTCTATTCCTTTCAGGCGACGGCGTTCATTTATGGCACCATCGATGCTCTGAACGTGGCATCCAGACGCACTCTTCTGCCCACAGATATTACCGTTGTTCGTACAACCTTGGGCGTTGGAGGGGTAAGACATTGTTTGTACGAATCCATCGTGTACATCCATTGGGGCTAAGAATAGACCCAGAAACCCCACGTGGAATCGCGCACGTCCAGCATGGACAGGCTTGGTCTTGGCGCGCGTCGTCGAGCGACAAGCGCCGCGCGGCGTGCGACGACCGCTGATGGCCTCCACGTGCGCTACCGCATGCCTAGCTCATCATTTCACATGTACGATTTTTCTAGGAAAACATCAAGCAGGGCGTCGCGACGTATGATCAAGAGCAGCGACAGCAGTCGCGCCGGGCAACCTTGGGCCTGGCCCCCGACTCGCGGACGCTTCAGGCCAAGCTCGACGCACTCTCCAAGCAAGCGGTCTCCAACCGCCTCAAGGTCGGCGAGATCAACGACCGCGTCGGGCGCATCCTTGAAGAGTTTGACGACGCGACGACCGACGCCATGCTGCCGTATGACCGCCTTCCAGTTAACGAGCTGCCATCGAGCCAGGTACGCTCCCTTGCCTTCTGATCGACCTCAACACAACGGTGGACGAAAGGCAAGCCACATATTGGAGTCGATGCGGGCGTCGCTGCATTACGCCGTCATGGCGGAAGCAGAGACCCTCGAAGACGTTCCTACAGAGGACACGACGATGATTCCGTCGACAACCGACTTTATTGATGACGTCCTCGACTCGTCCCGTCTACAGCAGCGCCGGTTGACGACAACAGCGCTGCAACTGACCAAGCTCACGGGTCTCCAGCGCGCCGAGCTCGAGGAAAAGATTGCATCCCTGGAAGGCGCGCTCTCGGACGCAGAGCATCAGTACGCGACGCTAGAATTCAAGCACGCGTACGTACCCTGCACGCAAAATCAGTCGCGTCACACATACGAACGCTAGCGCGCTGGGCAAGGACGTGACGCGGCTGAGCGCGGAGGTCCAAGCGCTCAAGCAGACGCAGACCAAGTTACTGTCCAACCTCAGCGACGCCAAGAAGGAGCGAGAGGCCGCCGAGGCTGCGCTGCATCTCGAAGCTCAAACGCGCGAGGTGGCGATGGATGCTACGATCCGTGGCTTGCAGCGCAAGGAGCTGCAAATGACACGCGCCTTGCGGGAGGCCGAAGACCGCATCAAGCAGCTTCTCGAGGCACCACCCCCCGTCGCTCTCAGTGGCAGCCCTGAGGTGATACTGCCATCGACGCCCGAGTCGTCCAAGGCCAATGCACCGGTGCTCCCGACATCAACCAAACCGGAGAGTCCACCAAAGCCAACGCTCTCTCGCAAGACCACGTCGCGCGCCGAGTCGATCAAGGCGAGCCGCATCTACGCCGGTGCTCCGGTTGTCTACACCCATATGGACTCGGCTGCAGACTCCAACAGCGTCGCCGCCCCAGCGATGGACACCTTCCAAACAAAACCACCCGTAGAGACACACGCTGCTACGTCGTCGAGCAAGCTCCCGGGATCGTCTGCCAAGCTTACTTCGTCCACAACGCTGCCACCTCTCTCTTCACCGCGCACAGCGTTAAAGTTGCCACGGGTTGAGCCTTCCGTTGGCTGCACGGATGCGCTTGGTGAATCGTCTTTGACCCACCCCTCGTCACCATTTTCGGCAGTGGCCATGCCTTATTCGATGCAGTGCACGTCCTCCGAGGCCGGCAGCAACGCCGCCCGCCCGAGCCAAGTGCCCGAGACGATACTCGGCCAGCGCATTGCTGATGCGCCGCGACAAAGCATGAACGAGTCACAGAACGATGTCACGGAGGCCAGCGTGACCGCTACGGGGGCCAACACACCTCGGTACGCCTTTCTAAGCCGACGGCCGTTGCACCAAGCGTCCAGCGTCGACTTGCACAGCGACAAGATACCCGAAGAGGCTTCAATCAATACCCTTTCGATCCCGGTTGTCGTGCAAGCACCGACATCAGCAAGGGACGTCTCATCCTGGCAGTTGATTGCGCACGATCTTTTGAAATCAGCGCCTGACAGTCTGGTACTGCGTCTGCGCTTTAAAGGTCCAGCCCAAGCCTCCAAGTCGGTCTCAACCCAGCACTGGACCTTGTATCACTTGGCGACGCATGCTGGTATCGGCTTTCGCATTCCAGAAACCACCTTGCAAATTGACGCTTCCAATGACGTCCTCGTTGTCGTCAAGATGCAGTTGGGGTCAAGCCCGTCGCCAGCGAACGCTCTGGACGTCGTTGAACGGACAAGTCACGAGCCAGCGCCCATGTTGAAGACGTTGCACTCGATCACGGCGCTGTCGACAGCGACGCGAAGTGCGCGATCGAGTGGGCCATCGGGCGACGAAGCACCCTTTTTCACGGCTCTCGGAGTGGTCGACGTACTCGACAACAAGAGCCGGCCAACAACGGCCCGGTCCAGCCACGAGAGACCCCTTACAGGACGACACAGCGCAAGAGGCGAAAGCCACCCTATCGCGCATATAACAGCATCTGACTTGCCCTCGGCCTGCAAGACCTCGGACAAGTCGTTCTCGTCAGCAGATTACCGCAGCGAGCTCGTGCTTTGCGATGTTGGCGACATGAACCGGGACGTGGGCGTACGATCGAAAGACTCTCCGGCAGCCGCGATCTCGAATGACGCCCGCACGCCAGCGCATGCGACACCACCCTCAACTAGCCATGAGATCACCAGCGCTGGCGCAGAATTGCAAGCCGCACGCAATGCATCGAGGTATCCGACGGAGTCGACTTTGCCGAGTTCAACCATGGCCATCCCGCCAGATTTTGTGCTACCAAATGCAGCGAGAACAACCACAGAGGCAAGTGGGCTGCGACAGAATGGGCTAGAGACAACCGGACGCGTCTTGCTGGAGGGCGGACGAAGCGCACTTCGACGCCTCTCGGACGATGGGGCGGCGACCGGATGTATTTCGTATCTCTCTTCGCCCGAAGCGGGTCGTAGTGTCCCGGGGCGCGACGCTGACACCGTGTGTCGACCGGCGCGACGCCTCTCCATCGAACACTCGCCCCTCAAGACCGACGCTGAGCCACCGCGAGTCGCCGACGAGACGCTCACCATGATGGAGCGACCACGAACGAGCTCTGGGGCAATTGCTTCATGGAAGATGGGGATGCCGAGTCGGGGCCTCCTGATCGGCGACGGTCGTCCGCAAACGCGGCCCAAGACTTGCGCCTGCTTCAAAAACGCAGACTTTTTCAAAAACTCTGCCCGTCTGACAAGCCACCACGACCACTGTCCGCTCGCGGACGAGCCGCGCCGCCGCCGACGGCACTCACTTGCAGCGACCATAGTGCTTGACAAGACGGTGGACTGCTGCCTTTGGTCACCGGCCAGCGTCAACGTGGTGCAGATCCAGTTCCCAACCAATATCGCCTCGAATCTGTAGACGCGCCAACTTGCATAGCGCTGTATATCTATCAATATATCAAAGCCCAAACGCATCCGCCGAAGCATTCGTGTCCAATCCAGCGACCATAAGCGCGAACCACATGAGTGACGCCGACGGCACTTGTAGGGTTAGGGTAGGTCTAGGCTTATAAAGGCCTACCCATTTTTTCAGTCTATAGCTCGAACCCACTAGAAACCAAAGGGTCCATTCAACATAACATCATCGAGGTCTAACTTGGTACTTACCCAAGTATACTTCACAAGTCGTTTAGATCGCATTTGAGCTATGCAGAGACGGCGGCGCGCGATGCCAACGACAGCCGCATGCCCTTTTCCATTGCGAATCTTCTCGAGTGGCGTCGGCTGCGGGCACCAGGTACGGACGTATTCGTCAATGTAATTTGTACTATCAGAATTACTTGGTCACCAGCCATAGCACAGAGTTCTGTCTTGCGTAAACCGCGGAGTGTCGGTCCACGCTTCCGACACCATCATCGCACACACGCAGAAGCAGCCATCAATGTTACTACGTTCAAAATACGATGCGAGCTCGGTATCTCAACTCACTGCGTCGAACTGTCAAGTACCAAACAGACGCTACGCCGACATGGCGGCACGCGGCGTCAGTGAAAGCCACATGCCGCCCTCGGGTGTGATCGAGATGCCGACCGCAGTGGGCTCCACCGACGGCGCGTCACTCGGGCGCGTCACGATGCATTGGCGCAAGATCGTCGTCAGCAGCACGGTGGCCTCCAACTGCGCAAACCGCATGCCAACGCAGTTGCGCGGGCCGCCCGAGAAGCTTACGAACCGATACGCGCGGTCTTTGGCCGCGAACCGATCGCAGTCGGCTGCGAGGTGGCGCTCGGGCTTGAACTCGGCAGCGTCGTCGCCCCAGTT